TGAACTTGAACTCTTAATACAGGAGGGTGAATACGACCTGATAAATATAACTGAAACTTGGTGGGAAGACTCCCATGACTGGAATTCAACAACTGAAGGATATAAACCATTTAAGAAGAACAGAAGGAACAGAAACACAGGCAGAGTCACACTGTATGTTAAAGATACCGATCTCTACACAGAAATGCAGGGGGACGTCTCTAGTAGCCCCACTGAGAGTATCTGGATTAATATAAATGGAGCAAGGAGTCCAAGGAACACAGTGGTTGGGCTTTTCAAAACAAAATTATTTGTTTTGAAAAGCAAATTGCCAGTGCTTCAAGAAGGCATGATGTTGGTGTTATGGGGGACTTCAATTTCCCCAATATCTGTTGGGGGACAAATTCTGCCCAACACAGCCCCTCCAAGAGATTCGTAACAGTGTTGCTGATAACTTCCTCCAAAAGAAAGTGGAAGAAGGGACAATCCTCACTAGCCTGGGGCTCTGCTGGGCTTGCAAGGCACATTACCTTCAGACTAATCCTTTGATTATGTATGTAGGAAATCCCCCCCCCACCCTGCAGCCGCCAAATATCACATGGACAACATGATATACTCAGGGCTGGACATTCTAGAATCCTGAATGCATGTATCATTATAAGCTTCCCCTACCTGGAAGCTTTTAGCTGTTGTTGGAGTTCAACTCCCATCAGCCCCAGGTAGCATGGTTGATGCTCAGGAATGCTGATAATTGTGCATCCTGGCCCCTTTCAACTCTACTGCACTGCTCTGCTCTGCTCTTCCTCAAGCAACTGGATGGGTGGAAGATGATTAGACATTGGCTGCTTGGATCACTAATTAATTCTTTTGAGCAGCTTTGTGGGTTTCAGTTTGAGCACTGTTAACTCTTAGGAATGTATGAGACAGAAGGGTAGTGGTGGTGATGGCTTCCACTCCCTTTCCCAATCTTTATTGCTGTTATTTGGTTTCACTGGAATGGTATGGATCCAGCATCCCATGAGTGAGTGTCTCCTCGTGCGATGGAGTGTTTCCATCTCCTACTCCCCATTGCCACCCTTTGCACACACACACACATTCCCAGCCTTCTTTGGGAAGATTGAGAGAATCTCAGGAAGGACATGAGAGAGGGCATGGGGGGATTGCCAGGTGCCAGGAGTGCCTTTCATAAGTTGAAATGCCTTTTCACACACAGGGCACTTTGGAACAGTGCAACACAGTGTCACCAAAATGAAGGTGTTCAGTTCTCCCCAAATCAAGGAATGGGGATGAGACTGAAAGGTCCAAGGACTCTCTGCCCATCCCTCTTCTGCCCTGTTTAGCAGAAAATTGGCCTGGCCAATGCAAATGCTCCATTAGGCATAGCAGGAGAGCAAAGGCTGCTCCTGCACAGTCCCAGCCCAGCCCACTCTGCAAGACAAGCAGGCCGAGGGTTTTTTCCCACTCAACAGAACACATGTCCAGCCCAAGAGGCAAAGCGAAGCCCCCTTATATGAAGGCAGTTCGCTGGTCCATCTGGCTTGGGGATGTGTTGCTTGACTGGCCACAGCTCACCAGGTCCCTGGCAGAGGCTGGCCATGCTGCTGAAGATGCCCTGAATCAGGGTCAAGCTCTATTTATTCTGTAGTGTGTCACTGATCTAGAGCAGCCAATTATGCACCACCAGGAAGGATAAAAGGGGGTATAGATTTGCATGAATTTGCACGTGCTTATTTATGCAGCAATACAAATGTTGGTAATTCATCTTAATGTAATTAAAAATACAATCTCTCTAACCATACTAAGGAGGACTGTGACCATATGACTTGCCTGTCCGCCCAGACTGCCTTCCGGGCTGCATGGACAGGCAGCTTCAAGGTCGCTTTATTTCTGAAATGGAACTGGGCAGATCAGCTTGATCAACTGCTTCAAGGGACAAGACTGTCTCTGGCAGCCCCTCCAAGAGAAGTCCACCCAACAGGGCTCTTGACCATGCTAAGCTTTTCCAAGCGTGGTCTCAAAAGCGGGTGCCCAAGGCTGAAGTTTGAGTCAGGATCACTACACATGCAAAGGAGAAGTTTAAACCGTGCCTTCCCCAGCCACTTCCTGCTGCCCCACAAGAAAGGGGGAAAGCTTCCATTGGCTTGAATGCAGGCATTTGTTTCTCTCTCCTAATCCCCAGGTAGGATATTAAATTTTGAAAAGGAAGTGGCAGGGGCCAGAGGAATAGCATCTCCTACTGTTGCATAGTGGTCTCAGTCCAGATACCCACACACTTACTGCCAAGTCCTCTTCAAATAGAGGGTCAGCTGCATGCTGTGTAGCTAATGTGTGATGTATTTTCATGTGTCAGAGACACCAGGTAATTTAGCTGGGACATGAAGACAATGTACCGCCAAAACAGAAGATGAGCCTCCAAGCGATGGCCCACATCACTGAACCCATGAAGGGATCCTGCAAGACTCTTCTTCCCTCCCTTCCTCTTTCCTTCTGGAGGGCTCATCCCGAAGTGTCTGCCAGAAGGGTCTGATGGCCAGGTAAGTGCCCAAACAGTGCTGCCTCCTCCATGGTTGCAGCGGCACCATGCATGAACTCTGGGCCAGCTTTTGGAGGGCCCTGGGCCAAGCTCCTCAATGGCTCCCCTCCCTCAGGGGCCTTGCCTTCTCTCCCCCATGCTCAGCAGCTCCTGCTCCTCATCACTGCTATCGCAGGCTGGCTGGACAGGCAGAGAGCCAGCAAGCAGGAAGGCAGTGGCCTTGCTAAGCCCAGTGCCTGGGCCAAAGCTGGAGGCAATGAACCAGTTGGAGTGGTGAAGAGGAGCACAAGTTCAAGGGGCTGGGCTCTTGCTGGGAGTGGGCCCTGGGCAGGCATCCCCCCACACCTGCCATGGACTCCAACCCTGCATGAACTGGTCTCTGCCTGCAGACTGCTCCCATCCCTCTCCTCTAGTGGGCTTCGACACTCGTGCATTCCAGTATATAGAAACACTGGGTTAATATTTGCAGATCGCTACTGCTGCATCGGGGTGAATAAAAGTGCATCCCAGTGCAGGCAGCACTCAAAGGGCTGCAAATCACATCCAGCCTTCAGAACTTAGGATGGGAAGTTTTTCAGTCAATGAGGCAATGAGGCCAGTGCTTAGGCAAGAGGGAAGGAGCTTTGGGGGCATCTCAGCGTGTCCCTCTTTGCCACGAACACCACTGAAGCTGGGACGTAGTCATCACTCCGAACAACCACAAATACCTTGATCTGTTTCTTATTTAAGGAAAATAAAGTTTATTTTAAAAGGCTTTGGACTAAGAGTGCATTTTTAACAAAGTACATAGACTCGGCAGGTAAGCACAATAGCCCACCCCACTTTGTTGCTTAATCTGGCTGTCCCTTTGCCCAGATCCTCCATGCAGGACCTGTTCCAGTGCACTCCCCTTGATAGCTTACATAAGGACTATACAGAGATGCTTCTGCTGGACTTTCACTTCAATTCGAAATACATTTACACTCGAAGGCAAGTGACTCCTTCCTTCCTTCCTTCCTTCCTTCCTTCCTTCCTTCCTTCCTTCCTTCCTCCCTCCCCCCCTCCCTCCCTCCCCCCCCACCCCACTCCCATTTATCATTGTGTTTCCAGTTGGGGTGGGGGGAAAGGGAGGCTGGTCACAAAAGAACAAGCCACCCAGCACGCTCATCCTAGACACAGTTGGCTGGCACAGCCATCAACACAAAGCCCTGGCCTTGCTGTCTGTTCTTAATGGCAGCTTTCCCCAACGCAAGCCTCTTCCAGTTCAGGGAGAGGCACACACCACCTCTGGCTGACCGAGAACAGGGTTTGATCAGGTGCTGCAGTGGAGAGGCCATCAATAGTTTGGGCATATCATGCGAGTGAACCTGACCTGCCCCACCAAACATTTAATACCATGTGGCCCTCAGGGCAGTGGGGCCCAAGAACAACAAGAGGTGCAAGGGAGCAAAACAACACCGCAAGTTGCATTTTGGAACTCAACCTGTACTTGGACAAGGCAGAACGTTTTGCAGGTGGTCAACGCTGCAGAATGAAAAAAATCATTTTGCATTCCAGGAAGGGGAGTCATCATTAATCAAGCTGATGGTAATGTTCCAAAACTCTAATACGGACATCTAAATCCTTGTTGCACTCAACCCCAGACAAGAAGTTTTAGGGTCTCTGGGAAAAGCTGGGGGGGGGGGGAGTGTGTCAACAGCAGTAATACATGTATGTGTTTTAAATAATTTTCTTTTTAATTGTCGAGGCAGTAATACTTGGTTCATGGAACTGCAATATACAGAGAGGTGAAATAAATAGCTTATATATATAATATATATTTATATATATAATAGAGCTGGTTTTAAAATATTCCCTTATCATTGGTGTTATTAGGTTATTTTACTTAGTCACTTGAAGGTCATTAGCAGCATTCTCCAGAAGTGAGCATTATAATGCAGGGATCACGGAGGCGTGACACCTTATGTCATCAGAAAGGTTACAAAGGACTGAGGTATTGAGCGCTCCACGGACGCCCAATGACTGATCTGCGGACCATCTTGTCTTGGTCGAGTTTGCAGCAGACAATAACACAGGTCACTGCAACACCAGAGAATTATCCAAGGGTTTTCAGGGACTTTGGGGAAAGAGCTTTGGTTTTCTTTGGTTTGTGGTTTTGGTTTTTTATCATCATCATCATCTTAAGATGAACTGTTTCCCCTCTAGGGATTGGCTGGAAAAAGTTGTCCATTCCAGAGGTTGTCCATTCCAAAAAGAGAAATAAGCACCTGTATGTCAATCCACAGCACAAAAAAAGTCAATTTAAATAGAGCCATTCATTTTTTGTTCTTCTTCTTCAAGTTACAATAAATCTTTTACAGCTTCCCCAGTGGGTTTTTTCAATCCAGTCTTTAAAAAAAATTAAAAACAATGTACAAAAATAGAGCTTCTCCCTTATTTTTAGTGTAAAAATATTTCTCTGGTACAGTCTATCTTTCGCAGTTTATTCACCTGACACTGTCTTTGTCATTTAACTAGGATTGGTGGGTCGTATTCTCCTAGTCCTCTTGGTCACTGTCGTATACTTGAAAGGTTTCTGTAAGTCCACTTGACCCTTTGGGTACCTTTTCATAAAATGAACATCTTGCTGGTTCTCCCGTGTCTTGGGCCCTTTCCGAGGCCTGCCTTTTTTGGTGAAGCCAACGTACCAGCCTGAGTACTTTGCTGACATAAGCGCTGTGTAGTTGTTCTCTAAGACTTTCTCGATGAAGACACACTCTTTGCTGGTGCCATCCGGCTGCAAGCAAGCAAACAAACATAAACAACATCAATACATTGCAAATCACTTGCAAAGCCATTTGGCCAAGATATGTTCTGGAAGACCAATCTCAGCATCTGCTGATTCTTTTGGAAGAGAGGAAAAATAGGAACATATCCTGGTTTATTATGCTATTATTGGGTAACGTAAGAAATGAATAACAATTTCTTGGCCTCTTGTGTCATTGGGGTTTACCATGCAATTGTTACACTAGAGTCACTTACATGCCATGATTCTACAGGAGCCCAGTAAAGGAACAAAGTTTGGCAGTAGGCACAGAATTCTGCATCTTTGTGATCTTAGATTTATTTCTTTAAAAAGCAAGCTTCTAGCCCTTCAGGATATGAAGACGTACTTGGAAGTTTAGGAAATGTCTGCTGAAATCTGGCCAGAAGTGGCTCCTGGCTAAGCTTCTCTAGTCTTGACAAAGCAGAATTTTGCAAACCAGGCAATCTAGTGGTTTCATGCAAATATACAGAACATTTGCAGGTTGCAGAAACAGTTTTTCCTGGCACAAAATGTTGATCAAATGGCTGAACATATTTTTTAATATTCTAGCAGCGTAGCAGCTAAAGATGTTATGTTTTTTACTTTCTTTTCTTCATCACTGATGAGCACAGGGGCAGAGGCAGACTGCTCACAGGAGAGGCTTACAGGGCAATCCTAGTCATGTCTACTCAGAAGTAAGTCCCATCAAGTTAATCAGGTCTTACTCAGGTAAGTGGGTAGAGAATGGTGGAGTTGCAATCCAAGCCAGTACAAATGCAGGGATTCAGTATCCCATTGTGTCCCCTGAAAAATCTCTTCCAGGGGGCAGGAAATGTTTGGGATTCAGAGTGGCATGTGTGGGGAAGAAAGAATCAGGGAAAATCAGGTGCAGGCAGCACTTTTAAGTTCATTTGAATTATAGTCCAAAATGTGGTTATTGATCCTAGAAGTACTCCCAGTTCTTTTTCATTTCGCCAAAAAGTCACTGGGAGCTTGTTTTATTCTGCTGTGCACTACCTTGTAAGCCCAAAGAGTTTTGAATCATAAGTGTTCACAATTGTAACTCTGGTAAATTTAGAACAGGACTGCTGCCATTTTTAAACATGTATTTTTATTAATGCAAGATAACAGTTCTGCAACAACACAACTTCAACACATACAACTTGTCTTACATTGTTTGTCTCAGGTTCTGTACCTAATTTAGGATTGTTATCCCTGAATACACCGTTGTAGTCAACATCTTAATCTCTGCTATATCCACAAAATAATCACACTGGAGTTCTTCTCTTTGCTTGGTATGATACCTGCCCAAAAAAAAAACAGACTGTGCCCTTGGTGGATGTTCGTTTGTAGGCCCTGTATTAATATATGTAGTGAAGAGAACCATGTTTCAAAGAACAAGGCCTGCTGAATTATCCGTCTCATCAATTAGTTATGTTGTGTTAATTTTCCTAGTAATATCCACATCCCATATCCATCCTTGCCACTGCTAGAAGTATAACTAGGTCTTCATGTAACAGCTGCTTGTGTGTAACAGCTGCTATTCTGTGCGTCATCCAGAATAGAAAGAAGAACTATTTATTTATTTATACTTTCATTTATATGCTGCCTACTACCGTAGTCTCAAGGCAGCTTACAATAAAGATAAAACCACATAAAGTACATATATACATATCTAAAGCTAAAAACACATATGAAATAAAATAAAACTTCATTATCAAAATTTAAAACCTAACAATAACAACCAAACAAGCAGGTGCTACAGCTGCCATAATGGGGTGCCACAAACTGTTTGTTTTGTTATTGGAGAAATATGATTAAAAGTGACTACCTAAAATCCTTGCACATAGTCACACAAGCTCTCCACATATGGGATAAAGCATCTTTGACTTGGCAACCTCTCCAGCAATTTGGGGAAAGAGTTGAGTTAATCTGGTTTAGTTTCAAAGGTAGGGATGCCACCTAAGTATTAATTTTAAGTGTGCTACTCTAATTTCTGCTGAGATAGTTTTAAGTGGGTTCTTTTCCCCAAACCTACCATGAGTCTGTAACCTCTTCTCCAATCTCCTTCGCACAAACTATTTTCACTTCTCCTGTTGTTCTGCCACAATATCCTATTAACCAGCTATAGATACACGAGACTTTACCTTTGCACCTGCCCTTCGAGCTAACATGTTAACTTTTGAAGAAGGTTAGGGTTAGGGTCTTGAGAAAGTTCTTTACTGATCAGATCCTATTTCTATCAACTTCTTGATATCATTGCCTGATAAAATGCCTTTATTTATTTATTTATCTTCTCTACTGCCCAATAGCCAAAGCTTTCTGGACATTTTACAACATTCCATTAAAATGCAGTCTAAAATATACCACGCTATAAAACATCATAAATTAAGTAGCCATGCAAAAATTTAAAACAAAATTTAAAACACTATAAACATTCCAATAACTTAAAAAAGGTAAATCTTGGAATCTGATTAAGCAAATTATAAAGCCCAGGTAAACTACTGAAATGCCTTGCCAACCAAGCCTCTCTTAGAAATGGCCCTTGGAGGCAGGTCTCAGATCTTGAGTTTAAGCAGCATGCAGACTGCTAACCGCAGTCTGGGTGGGTGAATTTGGCTTCTCTCAGCTTGCAGTCCTATTTTCTCCAGTCCTCAGTTTGTTCTGCCCCATTTCTGCAGGGATGGGTTTGTAACTTATTAAAAATCTGCACAAAAATATATAAGCATTTTATTTATTTATTTATTTATTTTGCAATTTATATCCTGCCTTTTTCCTACAAAGGGCTCAAGGCAGCTTACATCATTCTCCTCCTCCATCTTATCCCCACAACAACAACCCTGTGAGGTAGGTTGGGCTGAGAGTCTGTGACTGGCCCAAAGTCACCCTGTTGGCTCCATGGCCGAGCGGGGACTCAAACCCAGATCACCTGTGTCCCAGTCCCACGCTCTTAACCACTACACCACACTGGCTCTCATGTGCAGTTCTCCTGATATACAAATTTCACACATTTCTGCCTAATATACATGTTTTTCACAAGCAGCAATTCCTTATATGCTTATGTAATGCAATTTTGTATGTTTTCCACACACCCACATGTGAAGGTAGCACATTTTTTGCATGCACTTTCCCATACTGCACTTTTCTCCCTCTTTTTTGGCATGCATTTTTCTGCTCAGGGAAGTGCATCTCAACATTCCACATACTAAGCATTAACCATGTTCCAGTTCACATACTGAGTTGGCAAGTATGTATTTATGAGGTTCTTATCAAAATAGGAACTGAACAAAATCCTCCTTCCCCATACTTACAAAACACCCTCTCTTTGCCCTGGGGATCTAGGGAACACGAAGACATGTGAGCCAAATCTTTCCCTGCCACTGTGCCACGTACAACACGGGGTAGAGATGGCCATGTTTCCTGATATGAATACTGTACAATCAATGTAGCATTGAGGTTTGGTGGGAGAGACTCGGATTCGTGCCACAGATTAAAGGAACTTCTAATCTGGCCCTGAAAGATGTAGCGAAGAACAGTGATGATGTTGCAGCTGAGACAGCACTGGTGCTTTGGAGACCAGCATTGCTCCTTTTGGGCTGGGAATTGTTTGGCTTGGTTATCATTTGCCCAGGAGGAGAGAAAAAATAAAATGCAATTTCCCCAGGAACAGCATGTAATGAAAGAATACTGCTCCAAGAGCTGTTTTCACTGCCTCTCTGAGCCTGCCATGGGCAGAAGTCTGGATATTAGCCAGATTATGGGGATGGGGGTTTAGGAGGCCCTTAAAGACACCCAGCAGCCCCATCTCTTCTCCCCACAAATTGGCACATACCCACACAGCTTTCTAAAAGCAGAAGCTAAGTGCAGCATCACAAAGGGTCAGGGGAGTAGCACCCCTGCCTTCCCCCTAATTTGGGCAGTTTTGCTGCCCATACACAGGGGAAGAAGGCTCCACTTCCTTCTGAAGCTTCCACAGAGCTCTGTATAAGCAGACTCAGCTTATACCAGCAAAAGCTGCAGTGCTGTTTTCTTTCTTCTTTTTTTTTTAATGACCATGCAGCAATGGGGTGCTTAGCCCATGTGCTGGCAACATTTTAATTTTATTTTTACTTTCCTTGTTGCTGTTATTCAAAAGATCACTAAGATTATTAACACAACATCAGAATGCAGGATTCATTGAAAGGGCCATGGGCCATGTTTGACATGACACCAGTGAGCTGAAAGGGGGCTGGAGCAGAACAAGCGACTCTTCAAAAGGCACTTACTGAATTGTTTGTGCAGAGCATTTGGTTAATTATCACCCCGGAAGTTAAGAAGGAACATCTTGAACTGATTCTAGGCAAGTCTGTCCAAACATTTGTTGCCCTTATATTTACATTCCACAAATCTGCTGGCAGCTCCCTTTTTCACCTCCTCTCACCATTTATAGTCCAATTTGGTCTCCCCGGAGCTTTGCCCTTGCATTGAGGTTCTCCAGCCAGAAAGGATCAAAGCCCCAGTCTGCTATGGCCATGCAAACGCTCTCACCAAGCACAGCCTTGAGTCAAAGCAACAATAGTTGCCCACTTGGAAGGGAATTCTCTTGCGCTTTGGTGATACCACAAAGACAGCATGAGCCTGACCCACACTTACTCAGATGTCAATGTGATGGAGTTCCGCAAAAGTTACTTTCACATCAACATGTGTGGGAGAGCGGCCTGTGACAGCCTGCAGCAAATGTAACAGTGGCACTGTGGCTCGGACTTTTTATCAAAACTGTGTAAATAGATCCCCAAGACAATGCTTTTGGGAAAAGAAGAGCCAAATGCACTCTCATATCACATTTAAGGGGAAACCAGTTTATTTCTAGTCCATGGCAATTTGACATTTTCACTTGTAATTCTGTCCAACCTGTTTCTGCATCAGCCTGTGATTCTTTTTAAATGCACAAAAATCTGTACCAATTTGTGGACACAGTTTCCCCGAAACAATGCATATTGCTATGCAATGTC